AAAGAAATCTCTCCTTCCACTGGATTCCCTGGCACTGGTGTTATTTTTGTTTTATACTAATACCATATTTTGGTTATGTTTTATCTTCTCAAATATATTTTAAGCTACGTAATGGCAGAAAGTGTGTATGTCTTCTTCGTATTTAATTCTATCAATAAGCATGTTGTACTTGCACAGAAGTTTCTCATTAAAAAAATCCAAGACAAGATGGGAGTGGAAAAGATGGTGGTGTGAGAAGTGAGGCAGAAACCTCCACCCAAAACCACACATAACACAAAAATGCAGCAAAAACAACTAATCTTGAGAGAATGATCTGAAGATGCAGAACAGACTGCCTACATCAGGGATAAAGAGAAAGCCTCACAGAATGGATAAAGTAGCAAAGCTGTGATCTGGCAGAACCCAAGCCCTCTCCCAAACTCAGCTCACAGGCAGGAGGAAGAGAAACGGAGAGGGGAGGGAGTAGAAGCCCAGGACTGCTAAACACCCACCCCTGGAGATCTGCTCTGGGAGCATGAACCCACATTACATGGTGCCCGGGAGATTAGAGGGGTTGGAAAGCAAAAGACAGGCAGAATACAGGGAGAGACTGAGATTCCAGCTGCTTATGGAGAACAGGTACCCACAACTGGTCTCTATAGGACAAAACAAAGGCAGTCACTTTGAAAGTCTTTCCAACAGTGAGAGGGGTCCTAAAGGGGCAAGGATTAGTACACAAACCTTGTAGCTGAGGAGAAAGGACAGGTAGACAAGATCATCCTGGCACACTCAGCCTAGCAGCTTGGGAATTTTCAGGAGCTTCGGATGCTTCATCCTGCTGCCATTGTACCAGACTGAGGGTGGCCCCGCCTATGGCAGCTACAGGGGAGTAACACAGAGGCTCCTCCCTGTGTACTCAGCCCACTGGCCCTGGCTGTGGAGGTAGGCACTGCAGCCGGGAAGAAAGAAAGAGCTCTTTCCTTGGCAGGCTTGGGCACCAGGCCTGCAATCCCCACCATTGCTCCACGTGCTGGGCAGCTCCAGAGAGTAGAGCATCTGGGCACTAGAGGTGCCACCTACACAAAATTATTATTCCATAGTAATCATTAGAAATATGAAACAGCAAAGGAATTTAGTCCAAAAAAAATATCCCTCAAACACCAGGAAAGAGGGCTAAGTGAAACTGAAATCACCAACTTTCTTGATAAAGATTTCAAAATAAAAATCATCAACATGCTCACAGAGCTAAAGAAAAATATTCACAATTTCAGGGAGGACTTCAAGAAAGAGATAGAAACTTTGAAAAATATAGTATCTGAAATGAAACATACAATGGAGGGATTTAAAGGCAGATTAGATGTGAGAGAGAAGATGGTAAATGAAATAGAAATTATAATGAGAACAGGAAAACAAGCTGAGGCACACAGAGAAAAAAGGATCTCTAGGAATGAAAGAATTAGATAAATTGGATAACTTACTATTCAAACAGAACAATATTCACATTATATGGGTACCAGAAGAAGAGAGAAAAAGGGATAGAAAGTCTCTTTGAGGAAATAATTGCTGAAAACTTCACCAGTCTGGGGAAGGAAATAGTCTCTAAGGTTATGGAAGTGCAGAGATATTCCAACACAAGGGACTCAAGGAAGACAACACCAAGACATATAATAATTAAAATGGCAAAGATCAAGGACAAGGAGAGAGTATTAAAAGCAGCCAGAGAGAGAAAAAAGATCATGTACAAAAGAAAGCCCATCTGGCTATCATCAGAATTCTCAGCAGAAACATTACAGGCCAGAATGGAGTGACATGATATACTTAATGCACTGAAATGCCCCTCAAGCCAAGAATACTCTACCCGGAAAGATTATCACTTAAATTTAAAGCAAGGATTAAACAATTTCCAGATAAGCAAAAGTTGAGGAAATTTAGCTCCCACAAACCATCTCTACAGTGTATTTTGGAGGGACTGCTATAGATGGAAGTGCTCCTAAAGCTAAATAGCTGTCACTAGAGAAAATAAAACCACAATAAAGGAAGTAGACCAATTAATTACAAAGCAAATGCAAAATTAAATCAACTACCCACAAAGTCAGTCAAAGGATACACAAAGAGTACAGAATATGACATCTAATATCTAAATAATGGAGGAGGAAAAAAAGAAGGGGAAAAGAGAAACCTTTAGATTGTTTGAAATGGCATAATAAGCAAGTTAGGTTAGACTGCTAGACAGTAAAGAAGCTGCCCTTGAACCGTTGGTAACCATGAATCTAAAGCCTGCAATGGCAGTAAGTACCTATCTATTGATAATCACCCTAAATGTAAATGGACTGAATGCACCAATCAAAAGACACAGAGTTACAGAATGGTTAAAAAAAGAAAAGACCCATCTATATGCTGCCTACAAGAGACTCACTTCAAACCCAACAACATACATAGGCTAAAAGTGAAAGGATGGAAAAAGATATTTCTTGCAAATAATAGGGGTAAAAAAGCAGGAGTTGCAGTATTTGTATCAGACAAAAAAACACTTCAAAACAAAGAAAATAACAAGAGACAAAGAAGGACATTACATAATGATAAAGGGGTCAGTGCAACAACAGGATATAACCATTATAAATATTTATGTCCCCAATATAGGAGCACCTAAATATGTGAAAGAAATACTAACAGAATTAAAGGGGAAAATAGAATGCAATGCATTCATCTTAAGAGACTTCAACATACCACTCACTCCAAAGGACAGATCAACCAGACAGAAAATAAGGAGATAGAAGCACGTAACAACATATTAGAACAGATGGACCTAACAGACATCTACAGAACACTCCACCCAAAAGCAGCAGGATATACATTCTTCTCAAGTACACATGGAACATTTTCAAGAATAGATCATATACTAGGCCACAGAAAGAGTCTCAATAAATTCAGAAGGATTGAAATTGTACCAACCAGCTTCTCAGACCACAAAGGTATGAAACTAGAAATAAATTACACAAAGAAAACAAAAAAGCCCACAAACACATGGAGGCTTAACAACATGCTCCTAAATAATTAATGGATCAATGACCAAATAAAAACAGAAATCAAGCAACATGTAGAGACAAATGACAACAATAACTCAATACCACAAAATCTGTGGGATGCAGTGAAGGCCTTGCTAAGAGGCAGGTACACTGCAATACAGGCTTACGTCAGGAAAGAACAATCCCATATGAACAGTTTAAAGTCACAATTAATGAAATGAGGAAAAGAACAAATGAGGCCAAAAGTCAGTAAAAGGAGGGACATAATAAAGATCAGAGCATAAATAAATAAAATCGAGAAGAAAAAAATGACAGAAAGAATCAATGAAACCAGAAGCTGGTTCTTCAAGAAAATTAACAAAACAAATAGACTTCTAGAAAGACTTATCAAGAAAAAAAGAGTCTATACACATAAACAAAATCAGGAATGAGAAAGGAAAAATCACTACGGATACCACAGAAATACAAAGAATTAGTACAGAATACTGTGAAAAATTATATGCTAACCAATTGGATAACCTAGACAAAATGGACAACTTTCTAGAAAAATACAACCTTCCAAGATTGACCCAGAAAGAAACAGAAAATCTGAACAGAGCAATTACCAGCAATGAAAGTGAATTGGTAATCAAAAACCTACCTAAGAACAAAGCTCCCATACCAGATGGCTTCACCACTGAATTTTATCAAACATTTAGAGAAGACCTAGTACCCATCCTCCTTGAAGTTTTCCAAAAAGTAGAAGAGGAGGGAATACTTCCAAACTCATTCTATGAGGCCAGCATCACTCTAATACCAAAACCAGACAAAGATACCACAAAAAAAGAAAATTTCAGACCAATATCTCTGATGAACATACATGCAAAAATACTCAACAAAATATTAGCAAACTGAATTCAAAAATACATCAAAAAGATCATCCGTCATGATCAAGTGGGATTCATTCCAGGGATGCAAGGATGGTACAATATTCGAAAATCCATCAACATCATATATCATATCAACAAAAACAAGGACAAAAATCATAGGATAATCTCAGCATCAGATGCTGAAAAAGCATTTGACAAGATTCTATATCCATTCATGATAAAAACTTTCAAAAAATGGGTATAGAGAGCAAGTGCCTCAACATAATAAAGGCCATATATGACATACCCACAGCCAACATCATACTTAACAGTGAGAAGCTGAAAACTTTTCCTTTAAGATCAGGAACCAGACAAGGATGCCCACTCTCCCCCCTTTTATTCAACATAGTATTGGATATCCTAGCCAAGGCAATCAAATACATCAAGAAATAAAAGGCATCCAGATTGGTAAGGAAGAAGGTAAACTGTTGCTGTTTGCAGATGACATGACATTGTGCATTAAAAACCCTAAAGAATCCACCCAAAATACTAGAACTAAGTAGAGTTACCAAAGGGAAGGGGTTGGACAGGGTGGAGGCAGAGGGAGGGAGAAGGGGATTAAAGGGCATTGTGATTAGCACACATAATGTAGGTGGCTCATGGGGAAGGCAGTACAGCACAGAGAAGACAAGTAGTGACTCTATAGCATCTTACTGTGCTGATGGACAGTGACTGCAATGGGGTGTGGGGGGGACTTGATAATATGGGTAATCATAATGTTGTTCATGTGAAACCTTAAGATTGTGTATCAATGAAATCTTAATAAAAAAGTCCAAGAGAAACCTACTATTTCTCAAGATAATAATAATCTCGTTAAATTCTTTCAAATTTTGAAATGAATTTTTACATGACTGAAATTATTATTATGCTTTTAAACTCCTCTATTCAGAGAAGTTCTCAGTATCATTAGCTGGTAATGTTAATATGTAAGCAACAGTACTTTTAGATAAATATATTGTAGTGATTTTATAATCTTTTGAGAAAATAAAACTTTGTCAATGTTACTTAAGCCTAAGCTTAGTTTTAAACACTTACTAGAGAGAACGATGCTGTTTTTGGAAAGTATTACATAATCATTAAGTCTTACCTGAGGATTCCAACCTGGATCCAATTTCTTAACTAGTGCAATATACTCCTGCATTGCTTGGCTGGAACTTGAATCACCCACCGCTTTCCATGCTTCCCTATAGTGCAGAATATCCAAAATGACATGATCATTTACTATGTTACACAAACAGCATATTTCTTTTTATTATTTAAAAAATTGCATACACATTTTAAGTTTCTGGGAATATAGTTATAATAAGCCATAGATGAGTAGCCCACTTTTTTTGCATTTACATGGCCTGCAGCAATACAGACCTTATCACTCCACCTAGGGGGCCTTTTTAGACATTTTTTTCTCTAAATCCTCTCCCATGAAATTTTAATAACGCAGATTATATTGCTTATCTGTTGAATTTTGGAAGAACACAGACCACTGTAATACCTAAGATTTTATAACTTTCAAAACCCAACTTCCACCCCTGTTGAAAATGTATAGTCTACAGACCAACAGAAGTAGTTCCTGTCTTATGAATTAACTGTGGTTATGGCATTTTGGTAGTGCAACTAATCATCACACAAAACAGTACTTCCTGGGAAGATGCTTCAAACTTCTTATTTAACATGTGAGAAATATACCTTCCCCTACTGCTACTATCTCATCTATTAGCTGCTAGAAGTGGAACCTAAGGCCTCAGGCAGTGATTTCAAAAGAGAGGGGTGGTGAAAAGTAAACTCGAAATGGATCAAAGACCTGAATGTAAGTCATGAAGACATAAAACTCACAGAAGAAAACACAGACAAAAATCTCTTGAATATAAACACAAGCAACTTTTTTCTTAACACATCTCCTTGGGCAAGGGAAACAAAAGCAAAAATGAACAAATGGGACTACATCAAACTAAAAAGCTTCTGTACAGCAAAGGACATCAGTAGAACAAAAAGGTTTCCTACAATGTGGGAGAATATATTCATAAACAACTTATCCAATAAGGGGTTAACATCCAAAATATATAAAGAACTCACATGCCTCAACACCCAAAAAACAAATCATCTGATTAAAAAATGGGCAGAGGATCTGAACAGACATTTCTCCAAAGAAGAAATTCATATGGCCAACAGGCACATGAAAAGATGCTGCACATCGCTAATCATCAGGGAAATGCAAATTAAAACCACAAATGCTGGCGAGGATGTGGACAAAGGGGAACCCTCCTGCACTGCTGGTGGGAATGTAAACTAATTCAACCATTGTGGAAAGCAGTATGGAGGTTCCTCAAAAAACTAAAAATAGAAATACCATTTGACCCAGGAATTCCACTCCTAGGGATTTATCTGAAGAAAACAAGATCCCTGATTCAAAAAGACATAGGCACCACTATGTTTATCGCAGTACTATTTACAATAGCCAAGATATGGAAGTAACCTAAGTGTCCATCAGTAGATGAATGGATAAAGAAGAGGTGGTACATATACACAATGGAATATTATTCAGCCATAAGAAGAAACAAATCCTACCATTTCCAACAACATGGATGGAGCTAGAGGGTATTATGCTTAGTGAAATAAGCCAAGCGGAGAAAGACAAGTACCAAATGATTTCACTCATTTGTGGAGTATAACAACAAAGCAAAACTGTAGGAACAAAATAGCAGCAGACTTACAGACTCCAAGAAGGGACTAGTGGTTACCAAAGGGGAGGGGCAGGGATGGTGGGTGGAGAGGGAGAGAGAAGGGGATTAAGGGGCACTATAATTTGCAATCACAATATAGGCAGGTCATAGGGAAAACAGTAGAGCATGGAGAAGACAAGTAATGACTCTATAGCATCTTACTATGCTGATGGACAGTATTGCAATGGGGTGTGGGGGGGACTTGATAATATGGGTGGATATTGAAACCATAATGTTTTTCATGTGAAACCTTCGTAAGTTATATATCAATGATACCTTAATTAAAAGTAAAATAAATAAAATAAAATAAAAAAGTAAGGGGTAGTGAGCACAGAGAAAAGAATACTCATGAGTAAGAAGGTAGGAATATCCTGATGTATAAATACCAAGAGTAGTATTTTGTCCTGAGCTCCCTCAGGTTATCTTTTTTCTTTTTTTATGCAAACTTCCAGGATAGGCTCCTTCTTGGTTTTCCCTTCCAATTCTCTCTACTTCCACCCAGGAAGTAGACCCACTGACCCACTGTAAAACAGACTCAGTCCCATGGCTTTTTCACTACTTTCCTGCTCCTATGATGAGTATAACATCTCTCTCAGGTTTTCTAAATTTATTTTTACAGAACCTCTAGAGAGTTACTTGTATACATCCTAACACTTTACCCCTAATTATATGAGCATATATCAAACTGAGGAAATTCAGTATCAATACTATCACATAAATACATAGACCACATTCATATGTCCCTAATTTCCCAAAATGTCCTTTCTAGATTTCTTCTCCCAGACCAGGAGCCAACCAAGATTCACACACAGCATTGAGTTTCATGTATCTTTAGCCTTTTTGGCCTACCATGATACTGATACCTTTTAAGAGTCCAAACCAGCTCTTTTATACAATATTTCTCAAGTTGGATTTGTCTAATTATTTCTTCACCTACAGCATATTCTTGCTAAAAATAATCATGATTAGAATCAGGTTAAACATTCTGTAAGAGCAACACATAGTGACATGCATGTCATCACACCCAGGGCACAAGTTACCAGTCTGTCCCATCATCAGTAAGATAAAGGTTTGGTAAAAGCAGTATCTCCCATTTTCTTCTTTGTAATTAGTTAGTAAACTGTGGGTCAGAATGTGTAACTATTGCTTCTCAGTTCTTCACCTAATGATTTCAGCATCCATTGATGATTATTGTAGTGGTTTGAAAATCTGAACTTTTTTAAATTGCTAAAAATAATGAAAAGACAGACAAGCAAGGAGAATAATAATGGTGAAGTTATGAAATTTCATAAATTCAAACAAAAAACACAATAAATGTTACATCTGGTATTCTCTATAACAGTGTAAAATGCCAATTAGAGGATGATTTGTATGATAGCAAAGAAAGCTTACGCCAGAATGAAAATCAGAGTACTGCTTCCTTTACTCAGTGTCCTACACACCAGTCAGTCAGCTGAACCACATGGTGCGCTTAATGACATGACTGATTTACATTCGGGTTCAAGCTTTCCATCTCCTTACAGCTGGGTAACTAAGAGTTCACAGTCAGGAAACTTGTCCAGACCACATTCTGAGTAGCACTCCTCTAGAACGTAAAAATATAATCCACTTTTAGGACTTCTCTCTATAACCATATTTCATCTTTTTTTTTAAAACCTTACATCATATACTTTTAATTCCAATACTTATGCTCTAAGTCCTTCCTTCTATAACTGTTTCCCTAATTGCATGCAATTTCTCTTTTTTTTATTGGACAAAATGAGAGGAAATAAGACCTCATTGGATAAGAGGGAACCTCTGAATTATAAAAGAATTGGGGAATGTATAACCTTTGTATTTATTCAGGAAAGAAGTGCACTCAGTATCCACTTTTTTTCTTCTACCCTAGAGATTATTATAAGCACATCTTCCCGTTGGGGCTCGGGTTGGTGGGGACAGAGGATCACTGGAGATGAGGAGATAAAATTGGGGCAGGGGAGAAGAGTGAAAATGTGGATTTACCCTGCTCTTCTCCCTTCCCATCCTCGTGGCCTTCTCCCAAAAATCCCTTCAGAGAGGGGAGAATAGAGAAGCCATTAGGAGCTGTATAATGAGTGAGGAAAATCTCAAGCAATAGGTCTTATTGCTTATCCTCTCTGAGAAGCTATTCATATGCAAAGAATGTATTTTGTAGTGCACTATTTAAATATACCAACATCACGACATTAGAATCCTTTAAGAGACTTAACTAAAAGTGGATTCTTTTAATTTCTCTTCCCAATTTGCTAACAGTCCACAGCTGAGAGACTGATATAAAAATAATTATTTAATCTGTTCATTGCTTTGTAATTCCTAAACACCTAAACCATTTCCCACAACCTCATTAGATTCCAAGAATTTCTTACCATTTTTGCTTTCCTTCAAAATCAAAGAAGCTTGGTTTAGGAGTATTGCAATTGCCAACTTTGACCTAAAGGAAGGGGGTGAAAATCAAGAATTTATTTTTCAAAGAAATGGCAGAGAAACTTTTATTTTCACATTTATTATAAGTAACTAGTAACAGGTTAGAAAATATTTGCATCTATATAGAATAACAAAATTTAACATTATTGGCAAAGCAAACAAAAAGAAGCCCCCAAACTTTAAACGAAGGTTGCTTTGACTTACTGCATAAAACAGCTGTTCCCTAATTTTGCAATACATAAAAAATATGGGTGACAAACAGCTATATTCCTAAATTAGTGAGCAAACTATATGTATAAGACAAAGTCATAGATCATGCAAACCTTATTACCATATACAATACAGAACTTTTAAACATGTAATAAGCAAGCTTAAAAGTAGTTTATCAGAATTCCTATTATTTATGCTGATTCTCATAACACTACCAGCATTTTCTCTCTCCCAAACTCCAGCATAATGCAGTTTTTAAAATGCCCTATTATGAAACTAATCAATATAAATTTAGATGCTGAAACTGTGCAAAAAGATTCCAAGAGTTTCTCAACATAAATTCTATCCCACAATATTCTCGTTTGCAGATGCTTATTCTTAATCTTTAAATAACATCTGTAGTTAAGCTATCCAGTAATTATTTTCATTATGAAAAGCATAAATGAAATTCACACAAGTGCAAAATTCATTATACAACCCTGATTCCCACTGCCAGAAGTAATCTCTCTGATGAACTCTCATAACACTTCGTATGTCTGATAGCACTTTTCACCTTGACCTTGTGTTAGGAAGTTTTCTGTAGTCTCATCTTTCTATCAGAACACCAGCCTCTAAGAAACCGTACTTCACTCATTCATTGCACCTAAGATTGAGCCTAATTTAAGGTAGTAAAGAATGTTTACTGAATACAGAACAAATATGTTAGGTATGTGTCCAACAAAATATACCTATTTTCCCTAAGGCTAAATACCACAATTTGACCCCAATTTATTTCTATTAGAAGGGACTATCCCACTACCTCCTATTAGTTTTACACACTTGAATTTTGCTAAAAGCAAACTGATAGTCTACTCACCATATGGGTCTAGTCACTGCTTTAAGGATTTTTATTTTGAATTTTGCTCACGTTATCCCCTTCACCTCTTCTTCCCTCAGCTTTTCAAAATGCTATACTTCCTTTCAGCCCCTCTGAAGTTCAGATTCTTGGAACACTTTCAGTCTACAATGATCTCATTCACCTCTGTATTCATAACAATTATCATCTCTATCATTTGCTTAGCAATTCACCACATTAAGATGTACACTTATACAGAAGCAACCCTGCTATGATGGCACAGAGGGAAGAAAAGTTGAGAGCAGAAGCTGCATTTCTTGAACAATCAACATAAACCAAAAGCTTACATATGTTGAAAGAGCCACACAATAATCCTGTTAGGTTTGCCATTAGAAACTCATTTTATGAATGAGTATAGAGAAGCCAAGGAGGGTTGTAGCAGTTCACACATTAGTAAATCCTGAATTCATAGTCAAGATTTGAATATAGGACAACTTGACTCTAAAGTCCAATATTCCTTTACTATTCCACTCTGTTTTACATGCTAAACAGAATCTAGGCTTCAGTTCTGTCATCTCTAAAATCACTTGAACTACTGGATTATTAGAAAAGATATGAACTAATAGACATCATGAAATCAGTAGTTACTACTATTTTTTATTTTTATCCAGACACCAGCCAGTGGCAGAAACAAATACCAATATGTTCTCCATTTCTCCCACAGTGATAGATGTCCCAGAAGGACACGTGGTCGTGTAGCTAAATGTTACATGTGGCCATGCAACCTCTGCTCTGGTTCAGGGGAATGGATGTGTATGAAAGAGATAAAATACCTTCTTTAAAAAAAAAGGTAGGTTTGTCTTTCTCCTTCCCTTTGCCCTGGCTAGAACATGCATGTGGTGGTGGTGAGCCATCTCTGGCCTTGGAAAAAGGATCTGAAGGCGGCAGTTCTCAAACTTTTTGGTCTCATGATCCCTTTACTCTTAGAAATTGAGGAACCACAGAGTTTTTGTTCTTGTGGGTTATATCTATCTTTATTTACCATATTAGAAACTTAAAAGACATTTTAATAACAATAAACTCATTACATGTTAACATAAATAACAAAACTTTTATGAGAACTATATGTTCTAAAACAAAAAAAAATTGGTGAGAAAAGTGATATTTTGTATTTGGAAATCTCTTTAATGTCTGCTTAAGAGAAGGCAGTTGTACTCTCATGTCTGTTGCACTCAATCTATCTTGTTTTGGATGATGGGTATGAAGAAAACTCAGCTCTGTACAGATACTCTGTTAGAAAAGAAGGAAGTAAGTCAGGAGCATTTTCAGATTATTGTGGATATTCTTCTTTGACATCACACCAAAATTCAACAAGCAGCAGTTTCTTTAAGGTTAGCTACACTGAGGAATCTGGTTATATCAATGGATTTTTCATTCTGTTCCATTAAAATCCATGGGTCTGACTTCACTGTGAGTGGATCTTTTACCCATACATAACATCATTCTGTGCAATATTCGGAAACTATGGATCCACTGAATTATGTGGATCTTCCAAATGTTGATACATTTCATTATACAAGAGCAAAAATTCACCATTAAAATCACTACTAATCTCATCAAAAAAGTCTGTAAATATTAGGAAGCTGTCAAGCTGATGTGGCAGGTACATATTTTCCAAACTTCTAATTTTTACTTGAAGGCACAAATGTTATCATGTGCAACAAATACTGTCGGTTGTTTTTCTTAAAGTGACAGGCTCACGTCACTCATTTTCAAGAAACTGCCAAATACTCAAATTTGAATACGCACAGTTTATCTTATCTGAAGGCGGCAGTTCTCAAACTTTTTGGTCTCATGATCCCTTTACTCTTAGAAATTGAGGAACCACAGAGTTTTTGTTCTTGTGGGTTATATCTATCTTTATTTACCATATTAGAAACTTAAAAGACATTTTAATAACAATAAACTCATTACATGTTAACATAAATAACAAAACTTTTATGAGAACTATATGTTCTAAAACAAAAAAAAATTGGTGAGAAAAGTGATATTTTGTATTTGGAAATCTCTTTAATGTCTGCTTAAGAGAAGGCAGTTGTACTCTCATGTCTGTTGCACTCTATCTTGTTTTGGATGATGGGTATGAAGAAAACTCAGCTCTGTACAGATACTCTGTTAGAAAAGAAGGAAGTAAGTCAGGAGCATTTTCAGATTATTGTGGATATTCTTCTTTGACATCACACCAAAATTCAACAAGCAGCAGTTTCTTTAAGGTTAGCTACACTGAGGAATCTGGTTATATCAATGGATTTTTCATTCTGTTCCATTAAAATCCATGGGTCTGACTTCACTGTGAGTGGATCTTTTACCCATACATAACATCATTCTGTGCAATATTCGGAAACTATGGATCCACTGAATTATGTGGATCTTCCAAATGTTGATACATTTCATTATACAAGAGCAAAAATTCACCATTAAAATCACTACTAATCTCATCAAAAAAGTCTGTAAATATTAGGAAGCTGTCAAGCTGATGTGGCAGGTACATATTTTCCAAACTTCTAATTTTTACTTGAAGGCGCAAATGTTATCATGTGCAACAAATACTGTCGGTTGTTTTTCTTAAAGTGACAGGCTCACGTCACTCATTTTCAAGAAACTGCCAAATACTCAAATTTGAATACGCACAGTTTATCTGTGAGTTGCTCTGTTAAATAAAAATGGTATTTCATGAAAAAAAAAATGGATATCTCAGCTTGCAACTCAAATACCACACACGTGCTTTTCCTGGAAACAGCCAATATAATTCAGTATGCAGCAGGAGCTTTATGTGTATTCCCATTTCATCACACACAATATTAAAAAGGCTTTTACTCAAGAATTTATATTTAATACAAATGAATAGTTTTTCCTGCTTCATCAAAGATATTTTTTAATGAAACTGGCTTTTTTTTTTTTTTACTTTGAGTATATGACAGTAAAAAAATGTGACTGCTAATACACTTTGCTGTCACTGCCTTGATTCATGCTACTACACAAGCATGTCTATCCACTATGACAGCATAGAAAAAAGGCAAATAGTGCCTTACCATTAGTATGAAAATAGTTTTGACTTTACAGGTCCCCTGGGAAAGTCTCAGGGATTCTCAGGGATCCTTAGACTATGATTTTAGAGATGCTGCCTTGAGGATGGCTGAACTACAAGATAGGAAAACACAGCCCTTGGAGGATGTCATGAAGCAGAACCACCCTCCCTGCCCTAGATCACCCACCTCCAGACCATTATGTGAGGGGACACTTAAAGTTCAGGGGGTGATCCTGTACCCTAACTGACACAAAAGCTTTTGTATCCCTTGTATCCCCAAATTCAGAGTTCTGGATCCAGAGAAGACTAGGAAAATAAAACTACAGGATTTTAGGATATCATGAGCAGTAGTTTCTAAATCATTAGATAATGAACCATAAGCTGTAAAGCAGAGTTATAAAATGTGCCACTTTAAGAGCTTCGACACTGTTCTCTCTGACACAACATGGGTTTGAGCTGCATGGATCCACCTGTATGTGAATTTTTTTCAATAAATATATTGGACAAATTTTTGGAGATTTGTGACAATTAAAAAAAACATTCTCTTTTCTCCAGCTTACTTTATTGTAAGAATATAGTATATAATATACATAACATACATAAGTGTTAATTGACTTTATATTATTGGTAAGGTTTCAGGTCAACAGTAGGTTATTAGTACTTTTGGGTAAGTTGAAAGTTATACATGGATTTTTGAATGTGCAGGGGGTCAGTGCAACTAATCCCATGTTGTTCAAGGGTCAACTGTATTTATGATATATCCAGTGCCCTTGAAATTGCACAGAGTATTTCAACAAAAGTTGTCAATGGCAAATGCCAGTGTATCAAGTGCACCCAGGTTAGAGTAGGAAGACAAATGAGTATCCTTACTAGTGCTGAAGGCTCCTATAAATAAAGCCAACAAGCCTTTAAAATTTTTATTGTCCTATAGTTTTAACAGGTGTCAATTAGATCTTCTGCTGGGAGAGAGTAGGCTAATGCACAGAGGACAAAAAAAACTGTTAAATGGTGTGATCTTTTTGAAACTTCACTAAAAGATGATTTTTAAGCCATGGGCTTATCTGAGACTAAAACAGCTACTATATTAGGTAGGTTTAAGGCTCTGCCTGAGAAAATAATTCATATCTCAGCTTATTTTTATTATCTTCCTGCTGACAACATGACCTCATATAGCCTACAAAATAGGCTACTATTCCAAATACAAAATATAATTATTTTAAGAGAAATTTTGATCCACCATGCAGGAATTGTATTGGACTGTCAACTTTATTACTCTCTTAAATATGCTATTTTTAACACTGCATTGTTATGTCTCAGAATTCTATTAAAAATAAAATATTTAGAAGAGATTGATGAAAACTGTGTCCCAGTGTCATATCTGAACAAGCATGATCTTATTCTTTAAAATGGAGAATTTTATTTCCAGATACATAATACCTCTAAACACCTTAATGTAACTTCTTGAAAGATGAGGGACACACCTCTTCCAGACTATCTATATGACGTGAGTATATTGGAGGCAGAATAGTTGCCAGCTAAGAGGGGACTGTAGTTTACTGATGACCTGGAAATCAATATTTAATAATGATAATACTTATATCAGTAAATAAAGACATGTCCCAGAAAGAAAACATGTTCTCTAGGGAATTTGGAGACAATTAGTATTATACTTCCCAGAGAATCATCAATCAGATGTTACAGGTTCTAGCACAATGCTCAATAAATTCTTGTTAAATAATAAAAAATCACGTGTTAATGTTATTAGGACAGGGCAAATGACCAAAGAGAAAATAAATATACAGAATTTTGGCACAGAAAAACAAATTCCAAGGTCAATTCATCGGCAATTTTCATTCAACACTATGATTTATAGTATTTGTACCTACAGCTATACCTTCCAAGTCACTTTAAACTGATAGAATTGATACTAATCAAAATAAGTTTCAACTCTATTTAATGTATTCAGCTGAAGATTATTTAAATTGTTTTTAAATACAGGTGGAAATAGATATCGAGAGGGAAAAGAAAGGTTAAAATTTTTAAATAAAATAAAATGGGCTATTATCCAGAACTTCATTGCTTCCAGTGTTCCAAAGAGCTGGAGTTTTCCTGAACGGTTATTTAACTCGTCAGCAATTTTTCACGTTTAAATCTAAACACCTGGAGTAACTTTCTAAGGCTCTTAAATCAAGTATGATGCTTCTGCTTCTGTACATTCTCTGCAGACATAACACTCAAGTGATTTGCACATAAAAGATACTAAACAAGTATTTGTTCATCATGATAAAGCGATAATTTTTCCTCTTGTACCTAACCCAATGACTCTTTGAATGATAAACTAAGCATGTTTTATATGTGTCCATATTTTCAGGTGAAGTTCAGGGCGTTCTAGTTCTGACTAGTTTATCTGCAAGACCCTAGGCAAGTTATTTATTACTCTCTTTGGGCTTCCCATTCCTTTTCTGAAAAGGAAGGGGGTTATTTCATCTGGTGTTTACTAGCTCTACCTTTTTTGTAAATCTAACAGACAGAAGGCTATTCAACCAAAACATAAGTCTAACATATTTAGGGTAAGAAAAAAAAATCACAATTTAGCAGAAGTAGTAATACTTTATTTTGCACTGCATTTTGATTACAGCGATATTCTCTTGGCTCTCAAAAGAATTTTACATCACCGTATTTACTTCCACGTGACCCTCTGGCTAGAGTGAATGATAAATCTTATTTTATCCTCATTTTGTACAGGTTCTGAAGCGTAAGTGCAAGGTCTCTGGGAGAGGTCATAAAAGGCCAAGAAAAACTCATTCGGTGGGCAGCTAAATATCACTCCTAGGACAGCAGACAGGTCTTTTTCATGTCCAGAATGATGCTGATCCTTAGCAGTTGATTAAAAACAAAACAAAACAAAACACACATTCATCACACCCATCCTTTAACCAAGCACGTGTACTGTTCGTTTTTAGAGGAAGGAGAAGGCCTCTGGTGGCTCTCCCGCATCCACCCCTACCTGTGACTTTACCTGCTTATACCGGGCATAGAGGTACAAGAGCTGCTCCCGGCTGGCCACCGCCATCAGGCCTTGGACGCGCGCTGCAGCCTTCTCAAACAGCTCTGCCAGGCCCCTGGACGCCTCGGTCTCGGGGCTCTGGAGGGATTCCACATCCCCAGAGTCATCCCCCGAGCTCAGCTCTCCGCCGCTGTCGCCCGAGGTGGCCCCCGCCGGCAGGAATGGCGAGGCCATGTGCCGCTGCGCGGTCCGCTCTGCCTTCCTCAGATCGGCGTCTGGCCGGCGGGCGGGCCCGGCAGACCAGCCTCGGTCCTGAGCCCGAGCCGAACTGGGACCGTAGCGCTGCCTCCCTCCTACCCCTGTGCCTGGGCGTGCAGGCACGCTCCTCTCCCCTCCGCGGCTCTCCCGTTAGCCCGGCTCGCTCCGGCCTCGGGCCCACAGCGCCCTGGGCTCCCTCCAACGGTGCGGGGGTCTGGGGAGCGCGCCACCCGGAGGTCGGGGCAGGGGGGCGTGAGCGCGCTCCGGGGCTGGGCGCCGCCGCCTACCGGGTGCCGGGCCGGGGAGCGTGGGCGCCTGGCCCTGTGGGGGACCCCTGGGACCGCGCTGGGGACACGCTGTTTGGGGATACTGCCCTCGGTCGTTGCGGTACCCGTTAAACGTTTCGTTGAAATATCTAATCACAAACTGCGAAACCTATCCTCGGGATTGGCCCTCGGGGGCGGGGAAGGAGGCCCTCCACTCGGTGGTGTAGCTGTAGGAGGCGGGTCGCGGGAAACAGGAAGCCGAGGACTAAAGTTCCGCCCGCGCGGGCTGTGTGTCCCGGGCGCCCCAAACTGGCCTCGGATCCTTGCACGCGCACTTGCTGCTTGGGAGTTTGCTCTAACTTGAATAATGGATGGGAAAGTGGGAGATGGGGACCTTCACCGCCCCAACCGTGTGATCAGTGGTCATACCACTCCGCTCTCAGAGCTTTTTGGGGTCACCCCTCTCCCCACCCCTTAGCACAGTCGTCCGATACAGCCTTGGCCACTGTGGTTGGCACACACTGTGAAATGAAACCAAAAAGCAAACTTGGTTCTGCCCTAAAGGAACTTCCAAAACTATACAAAAACTATAACATGATTATAATAGTTAACGTTTACTTAGTGGTTATTATGTCCTAAGTATTGTAAAAATAATTTTAAAAAATACTTTTAATTTGGTACTCAAAACACTGAAACAAGCGCGATCAGAATGGTATGGAGTGTTCTAGAGAATGGTTACTGACCGTTTGTGGGTAGACTTTAGACAGGTGGACAGCAAGAAGGATAGACAGGATAAAGGAACAATGAGAAAAGAAAAGATGAGAAAGCTTGGAGCAGGGTTCAACAAACATTCCTTGAGGATCCAGAATGTGCCAGTCAGTCTCTGGTATTAAGGCCAGTCAAGGGATGACTGATGAACAAATTCTTGCAATTAAAAAGTGATAATAAAAACTTATTGAATCTTTCCCATTGAAGGACTTTATCCTTACTCATTAAGGTGGGTACAGTTGCCTCCACTCTACACATAAGAAATCAGCACAGAGTCATTGAGCAAGTTGCCCAAGGCTGCACAGCTAATTAGAGAAGCAAGGAAAAAGTCAAAGTTGTAAATTGTTCTGGACAGAAGTTACCTTGCAAATGGAATAATAACAGAGGATGAAGCTGTAAAGTAGATGGAAGGGAGGTGCATGGACCTTTATATTTATTTGTAGAATTTTTATTAGAAATGGGAATTGAAAATTATCAATAGCTTTTTAGACAGCTCTAGAGATTTTTTTCTCCTTTAATCTTTGAAAGGAATTATTAATAAAATTTCCATATTAATGAATTACATTAACAATATTAATAAATTAATAGGAATTTCATGAATTATATTAAAACTGACATTAATAAATTAATATAAATTTCAATATATTAGTAGATTTCCTATTTTGAATGATACTTCTATTCCTGGAGTAAAGCCATTCTGGTCCTGGTTATGTGGGTTGTGTTTTTTTTTGGTAATATTTCTAGGTTCAGTTCACTAATATTTTTGTTAGTATTTTTACAGCCCTATTTAAAGATGGCATGGACTGATAATTTTCCTTTTTGTTCTGTCCTCTCTCAGTGTTGCATTGGTATAATAATGGCCTTATAGAATATATTTAGATGTTTTCATCTTTTTCTGTATTCTACAACAGTTTAAATAACATGGGAATAAAGCAAGCAGAATTCTCTTATATGGCTGGTGGGAGTGTAAATTGGCACAACCACTTTAGACAAATGTTTGGCACTATCTAGCAAAGCTGAACATAAGCATAAAGCAAATGTACTTCCATCCAGCAAGAATGCATACATGCATTCACCAAAGACATGTACAGGAACATTCATGGCAGCACTATTCCTATACCACCCAAATCTGGAAACTCCCAAATGTCCACCAGTGGAATGAATAGGCCATACATAGTGTGTTTGCACAGTGGAAAACTGTTCATCGTCAAGAATAAACTAATTACAATTGCACAGAACACATGAATGAATTTAATAAACATAATGTACAGCCCAGGAAGTCTGAGCACAAAAGAGCTCACACTGTTTGCTTCCATTCATATGAAGTTCAAAATTAGGCAAAACTACTCTACTCTGTGGTGTTAAAAGTCAGGATACTGGGTAGTTTTGCGCTGAATGCTGGTTACACAAGAGTGTTCACTTTATAAAAATTCACTTAAAATGTATGTACTTTTCTGTAGGTACATTATATTTGAATGAAAAATTTTAAATTAATATGTGAAAAAGAAAAAAAAAAGGAAACCCCTGACATTCAGAAGCCAGCCTGGCACTCACAGTTAAGTCATATTGCTCTCCTATTAGACAGAAGTAATCTCATGAAATGCTAACCTCAGACAAGCTCATTGTGAAGCCATGATAAAATGAGACAAAACAAAACACTTTGTAAGTTTGTCTTAGCACAGATGAAAACAAGATTACTCTGCCAGTCATAAAATACCAAACACCCTTTCTCTTGGCTAAAATGAGTGACTACTACTTCTTTACAAATTATGGCTTTATTTTTGTGCTAGACTTCTCTCCCTATAGATAAGAGTTGTTGAGATGCCCAATCATAGAATTGCCTTGGCTTTCTGACAGCATCCAATTGAAAGCAAACTCCTGCTTCCTTAGATTCTCCCTCAAGACCCCAACTAAAGTAGTTGGGTTCTTTCTGAACATCTTCTTACTGAGACAGCCCATAGTTTCCCATGCTGTATGTTCTTCCTTGCTGCACACAAATAAATATAACTTGGTTTACTACAGGAGCCTTCCTGGAGGTCTCTGGCTGAAAGGCATTGACACTTGAGAACATTTGATTTCTAGAAGATTCTATCAAAATTCCCAAACTATCAGGATCTGATGACTCAGTGGGAATAAATCTTTTGCAATTAGTGTTTCCATTCAAGCATTTCTTGGGAACCGTATAAATTTTTCTGAATCCCAAGAAAAATCAGTCAAGAAATCAGGAAGACAGGAGAAAATATAATTAGGATAAAAGCTTTACAATCAAATAAAGCTTAAAAATCAACACGGAGAGGTTACTGATTTGAAGGGATCCATTGACAGGTCAGAAGCACTATCAGAAAATGGTAACACCTGGAGTCCAAAGTGAGTGAGGGAAAGGATCAGGTAGGAAAAAAGTGGTCAAGGGCTAACCAGTCTTGCCTGCAATGGTTGCCAAGTTGTACATGTGTTCATGGCCCCATCTGCTGCTAACAGTGAGTCATTCTTGCAAATAATATAAACTTTAATAAGATTATATGCATGGGACACTTTATACAAATTCCATGAGTGATATTCTGAGAAATAAGTTTTGGAACCAAATAAGTCCTTACACTGGCAATTTCTTTAAGTGGTTCTGGGTGGTGCTGTTAACTTTTCTAAGAGATCTAAATATTACGTTATTAGAACACTACCTAATAACATTTGCTGGCATTTTCTAGTGTCATGAAAGGCTACAGTTCTTTCTAAGCGCTTTAACTGAAGGCATACAAAGAGGAAAAGATTATGAAATACTCCAATACGACATCCCGAACTGACCTGAAGTCTGAATTAGCAAAAGTCTTACCTGTCTCAACAGCTAAATGAAAGTTAGGACAACACGAAGTATTTTCCGAATTTAGCACAATTCAGGTTTTGTGACAAGTCGACATGTTGTACATTACCCTCAAAATATTCATTAGTTCATCAAAAAAGCTTTAATTAAAAGGGCCAAAATGTTTCAGACATTGTTGATATCTAAGGATATCATGATGAACAAGGTTATTCTTCCTCTCTACTCCAGCCACATGGGCCTGCCTCTTTGAGACTCTGTCAAACCAGGCATTATCCAGCATAATCCCATTTTAGAGGCTTTTCACTTGCTTAGTCCTTTTTTTTTAGAACACTCTACCCCCAGATAGCTATACAGCTTGCCCTCTCATCTTTCCAGTCTTTGCTCAAATTTGTATTAGTCAAACCCTCCTTTACCACCATATTAAGAACTTCACTTCCACCCCACCAACACTCTCTCTTTTCTTTAGCATGTATTGCCACCACCTAACAGTATATTTTACTCATTTATTACATCACTTCTACATAAATTCCAGGAAGGCAGGGATTTTTCTGTTTTTATCACTGCCGCACTCCCCAGAGCTGGCACCTAGCTAAATCTTTATTTAATAAATAAATGAGAGAATGTATAAAAGACACAGTCATTGTTTTTGAAGGGCTTGCAGACAGTAAATGAACACAGGCAACAAAATATTACAAGCGAGGTGGAAAAGGGCATCCCAGGCAGAAGCAACAGCTTGGGTAAAGGGGCCGTGGTGTAAAAATAGTAAGTAACTCTATTACTTGATAATAAGTAAGATTTCACAAGCAAGAAATGTAGTTAGCTGTTTTTCTCTCTTATCCAGCATAAACTAAAAATCAGAACATAGGTTAACCTACTCCTAAGAGGAAAAACCTTGCTTAATAAAAGCCGCATGATTTTGCAACTATTTAAAAGAATAGAGTTCTTATAGGTCAGTGGCTTATTTTTATGTTACTAAATCCAATTGGCAGTATTTACCTAGGACATAATCTTCTAGGTAGTCGGTGGCCTTTAATCCAACTCTTTAAGCACATTAGTGGTGCTCTAGCATACAGGCAGATAAGCAGGCAGAGAGAGATATTAGACTGCATGATCTAATCTGCATAATCTCGAAGTTGTTTTTTTTTTTCCTACCTTCAAATAAAATAACCAGCAGAATGATACTAAATGCAAAAAAAGGGATCCAAACAGGAAAATCAGAGCCCTGAACTTGGAGAGGTTACTGATGTGAAGGGATCTGTTGAAATCTATACAATGAGCAAAATTTAATGAAAAAAATTACACCTGAAGTTCTCAGGAATAGATATTTTCTACTAAAATTTAAGAAAATGAAGAAAAATAATGTGATTAGTTTTGAGGACCCCCCTCCCCCGCTCCCCAACCCAGCAGAGGCTGTTTGATGGTAATGGACAGTTTAACTCTGCATGAGTAACAGCTTCTGGGGGATGGCTTTATGGGTTTTAGAAACTGACTTAGGTCACAATCTTGTTTAATGTCACTTATCATTACATGGATACAAATACAAAGGAAAATCACATGCCACAAAGCAAAATAGGATTAAATAATAAAAGCCTAGCATACTCTCAGATTTCAGTTCTGAAGA